CTGGTGGGGAGGTTGCAATGAGCCGAAATTGCGCCACTGTACTCCAGCCTGGGTGACAGAGCGAGACTCCGTCTCAAAATAAATAAATAAATAAATGGTAACTAGATTAGCTTTCTAGAAAGAGGCAGAGGAGAGGCAACCGTGGAGGGCTGGAAGGTAGACGCTCCTTCAGTGTTATGGATGCATGACAGTGGCTCTGGGTCATTTCCAACTTTAAATGCACGAATGACCACTTCTGCTTCCCTCCTCTCCTGTGACCTCCTATCTCCACGTGCTGTCCTTGTTGGAGCTTCTCACTGGGGCTCGGAGCTAGCATATCCCTGTGCTGCCTGGAGCCACTGTCTGAAGGGGCGACTCACCCTGGCACTGCAGTGACATGGTCACAGACACACAGGGTTCCCATGCTCACCGTCTGGAGAATGCAGAAGCGCAGTCCAGGTCAGAGGGCACAGGCATTTCTGAGCCTGGACCAGGAGTCCGTGTTATGGACTGAATGTCTTTGTCCCCAAAAATGTGTATGTTAAGTTCAAACCTCCAATGGGAGGTGGGGCTTTGGGAGGTGACGAAGGTGAATTCGGTCTTGGAGGGCACCGACCAGGAGCTTAGTGTCCTCATGAGACAAGGAAGGGCTCAGAGCTCCTGGGCTGGGCAGGCCGAGGGGATCCTGCAGCCCAGACTCCCCAGCACCCCTGCTGTGATGGGCACCTGTCCCCACAGACATGGACTCCTAAGCCCAAGCCGGATCCCTGCCCAAGGCCAGAGAGGACACTGGCCAGACCCAGCTGAAATGGCTTGGGGTTGAAGGCTGGACCCATCTCTCCACCTCTCCACCCAGAAGGGCCCGGCTTGTGCCATCTCACCACCTCTCCACCCAGAGGGGCCCGACCTGTGCCATCTCTACACATCTACACCCAGAGGGGCCCGGCCTGTGCTATTTCTATACATCACCCAGAGGTGCCCAGCCTGTGCCATCTCTACACATCTCCACCCAGAGGACCCGGCCTGTGCCATCTCTACACATCTCCATCCGGAGATGCCCAGCCTGTGCCATCTCTACACATCTCCACCCGGCGGTGCCCGGCCTGTGCCCGGCCTTTGCCATCTCTACACACATCTCCACCCGGCGGTGCCCGGCCTGTGCCAT